GGCGGGCTCTGCTCACCACAACATTGGGGTGTCAGAAGCCACAGCTCACTCAAAGGGTTGCAACGGCAGACACACTGTTTGGGCTTCTGTCTCACGGGTAGCCATGGACAGGCTAACACTGCGAAGGCTATGGGCATTTAGAATCCTCTGATCACTTAGGTTGGGAAAGACCCTTAAGGTCATCAAGTCCAACCATTAATCCATCACTGTCAAGTCCACTACTAAACCACATCTACTTGTCTTTTAAATACCTCCAAGGATGGTGATTCAACTACTTTCCGGGGCAGCCTGTTCCAGGGTTTAACAACCCTTTCAGTGAAGAAATTTTTTCCTAATGTCCATTCGAAACCTTCCCTGGTGCAACTTGAGGCTGTTTCCTCTTGTCCTATTGCTTGTAACTTGGAAGAAGAGACAAACATCCACCTTGATACAATTTCCTTTCAGGTAGTTGTAGGGAGTGATAAAGTCTGTCCTGAGCCTCCTTTTCTCCAGGCTAAACAACCCCAATTCCCTCAGCTGATCCTCACAGGACTTGTTCTTGAGACCCTCCACTAGATGCATTACTCTTCTTTGGACACACTCCAGCACCTCTATGTCCTTCTTGTATTGAGGGGCCCAAAACTGAACACAGTATTGGAGGTGCGGCCTCACCAGTGCTGAGTACAGGGGTATGAACCCTTCCCTAGTCCTCCTGTCCACACTATTTCTGATACAAGCCAGGATGCCATTGGCCTTCTTGGCTACCCGGGGAGACTACTGGCTCTTATTCAGTCAGCTATCGACTAACACTCCCAGATCCTTTTCTGCTGGGCAGGTTTTTTCCCAAGCTTGTAGTGTTGCAGGGGTTGTTGTGACCCAAGGGCAGGACCCAGCACTTGGCCTTATTGAACATCATACCATTGGCCTGGCTCATTGATCTCGCCTGTCCAGGTCCCTGTGTGGAGCCTCCCTACCCTCAAGGAGATCAACACACCTGCCTAACTTGGTGTCTTCTGCAAACTTACTGAGTATGCACTCGATCCCCTCATCCAGATCAATGATGATCTAACATTTTTCCCCTGTTTAGGGTTGAAAGATCCAGCTGTAGTTTGTTGTTGAGAGCTGTGGTATGAGAGATGTAAACGGCAAGAGCCATAGCCAATGTGTATGAAAAGGCAGCGTGTTGGTAATGTTCCTTTCTGACTACTGAGATGTGATACAGCCGTACTCTAGAGGTGAGTAGTATGCCATGTTCAGGCTGAGCACCTGAAGTAGGAGAGGAAGGCTGGTATCACAGGATAATTCTTACAAGAAAAAACTTCTGTCTGAACTTCCTAAAAAAAATTGTGTAGGTTTTCAATTGTTTTCAGTTACTGTTCAAAACTGGAAGTTGATACTACCTACTTCTCTTTGTGTTCCCTACAGCAAAATGTACAACAAAACAAAACACAAATCAAGAGCTACACACACCTGGCGACTGTGGGCCATCTACATGGTCTTAGCTGCAAATCTCTCTGAAGAGCAAGTGCTGGAGCACGCTTGTCCTTCATGTGATGCCACTCAGCTTTGCAACTGCTCTTCCATGGGCTTGGACTTTGTTCCGCTGGGGCTCACGGACAAACTCAGAGTGTTAGACCTGGCCCACAACAGGATAAAGCACATCCAGTCCCAGGACCTGCAGCAGGCTGTGAACCTGAGAGCCCTGCTGCTGCAGTCCAACAAGATCAGCTCGATAGACGAGGATGCGTTTCGCCCCCTTGGGAAACTGGAGGTCTTGGACTTATCAAATAACAGCTTGGCTCACTTGTCCCCTGCGTGGTTTGAGCACCTGTTTTCGCTCCAGCACCTCCATCTCCAAGGGAACTCCTACAGAGACCTGGGGGAACGCTCCCCCTTCTCTAGCCTGAGGAACCTGAGCTCTCTCCACCTGGGCAACCCGTGGTTCTCCACGATACGGCAAGGGAACTTTGAGGGCATTGAGCTTCTTGACACGCTGTGGATTGAGGGTGTCAGGCTCAGTCAGTATGAGCCGGGAAGTTTGAAATGGATTAAGCAGATAAATCACATGATCATAAACCTAAGAAACACTAGTGTATTCTCAGCAATTGTCAGGGACCTTCTGCACTCTGTCATTTGGTTAGAGGTCAGAGAAATCAAAACAGAATTCATAGAAAACAGCTTGGTGCAGAACGCTACGCTTCCTTTCAAGATACGAAAACTTACGTTTAAAGATGCCTCCTTCACAGATCAATGTATTAGCCGAATAGGAGTATTACTGAAGAAAATCACATCTTTGCAAGAGTTAGAGGCAATTGATTGTGTGCTTGAGGGGAAAGGAGCATGGGATACTGAAGCATTTCTAAGGACTGGGCGAAGTTCTGTTGAAACAATATCAATAATAAATATAACAATTCCAAAATTTCATTTGTTTTTTGACTTGAATGGTATGGAGTCACAAATAAACCAATTGAAAAGACTCACCATTGTGAGCTCTAAAGTTTTCATGGTAGCATGCCAACTTGCAAAAAGTTTTTCATCACTTCTGTATCTGGACTTTCATGATAATTTGCTTGTAAATATTCGCTTAAATGAGACGATCTGTAAAGATGCTTGGCCTTCATTGCAAACTTTAAATATAAGTCGAAACGCTCTAAAATCTCTGAAACAGACTGCAAATTCTGTAAGTCGTCTACCAAAACTGATTAACCTTGACATTAGCCAAAATAATTTTGGTGAGATT